CAGGAAGTGGAATTAATGGTCAAACTTCCACTCAGAGAATTATATCACAATAGCTACTTTATATTCTCTCTTAAAAAAAAAAGTTATTGGTACAAATAGTTTTTAAAAAAACTTAAAATAAATATTTAAATTTGCAATAGAAAATAAAGTCAAACAATACCAAGAATTGGGGATAAGAAAGACAGGAAACTTAAAGAAACTAARTACTGCCAAAATGATGGATTAAAATTGAAGGTTTCATTATGGTACATTCACTCAGAACTTTTGTACTCATACAAAAACTGTACATATCTTAAATTATTTTTTAAAAAACAAGATAACATCCACAGAGAAAAACCACAGTATCGTCTTGTTTATGAAAATAATACACTTGTTATTTCTACCTTTTCATTGGCAACATSTGTCAACTCCACAAAACTCTTCAATTTGATGTCAAAGTCACGTAGAAGTTTCCACTGATCTCCTTCAATWCCTACACCTGCCTTTTTAATTGCTTTATTTTCAAGCAACATTTTTAATCCCTGGGGAAAAACTATAACATTTTGTTATTTCCATAAGTTCTGTTAAGTATAATGGATTTATTCTCTATTTCTTACACATGCCATTTGTATTTTTAAATTGCTTATGTTAAGTTTAAATTCGGAAACACATTCACCTCAAGTATTTCTTTTCTTGCCTAAATCAAAAACTCCTGATTAATAAATGGTAAGAAAAAATGAGTGTGAGTACTCTGCTAGAACCAACAGTGTATTACTGGTCATCCAGATCCTCTAAAGTTCATTTCTCTCTTCTTTAAAACAGAAAAAATATCAATGCTTCACAGGGTGCTATGAAAATTAAACAGGAATATGAGTGAATCAGATGGAAACTAAATAGTTAAATAAATGTAAGATGATGAAAGAAGTACCAGGTAATGAAAGAGTTTAATTTTACMGGGATAAAGTTAACATATTACAATTATCAGCAATATAAAAATGAAACAAAGAAAAAGAGATAACCAACCTGCCATTGATGAAATGTGAAACAAGTACCATTTACTTTCAGACACGCACAATTGAATTAGTGCAACTCTGCTTAGTTTCCCTTTACTGTATACTGGCGGCCATTCCATATCAAATCCTATCACATCTCCATCAGACAGATTCATGCTGGGGGGTGGGGGGTTTTGACCAGAAGAATAGTGTAAGTTAATTGCATTAAAATTTTAAACAATTGCAGAACTAAAGACATCATTTTAAAACTAAATGACAAACAAAATCTAAAAGACAAACCATATAATGGGAGAAGATATCTGTGATACATACAACTGATAATAACCAGAAAATATTAAAAGTTCCTCAAAATATTATTAAGAAGCCAGGCATGGTGGCACACCCTATAATCCCAGCAATTCAGAAGGCTGAAACAGGAGGATCACAAATTGGAATCCAGCCTCAGTAACTTAGTAAGACCCTAAGCAACTTATGAAAGGTTGTCTAAAAACAAAAATTAAAAGGTGCTGGTGTAGTTCAGCATTAAAACACCTATGGGAAAAAAGGAGGGATGGAGTGAATGAAAAGACAATTAAGATAAATAATCCAGCAGAAGAATTGAGGAAAACAGCAATAGGCAATTCCCAAAAGGAAATTCAAATGGCCAATAAACATAAATAACTATATGAAGATACCAATTTTCTCTACACTCTTTCACATGTATCGGATTGGCAAAAATTAAAGGTTCACAGTATCAAATGCTAAGACAAACAAATATGGGTGAGACTGCTCATTACTGATGAAAATATAAATTGGTAAAATTCTTTTGGAAAAAAACTTTGACAGTTTCTAATTGAAAATGTAAAAACACTATGACTTGGGAATTTTTTGTTACAAATATATGAGATTCTTACACATATACAAAGAGACAAACATGTTTAAGTATGTTAATTGCAACATTGTTCCTACTGGCAAAAAATTGGAAACTAAAGTTCTGTCAATCAGAGAATGCACATATTGTAGCATACTAAAACAATGAAATATCATATAAACATCATATAAAAGTCAAAATGGAACTACACAGATCTATATGAAAAGTTCTCAAAAACATAATGTTGACTGAAAAAATACAAATACATAGTACACATACAGTTTGACAACATTTTTAAATGTTTTCAAATGGACAAAATAATATATATTTGAGAATATAAAATACTAAAGTAGTATAAAAACTATTGAGGAAATGCTGACCACTGAGCTCATAATAGATGTTATCTCAAAGGGCACTAGAAACTGTACCCTGACTCAACTCTCCTAAACTGGTTCCCTTATCTGACCACACAATAACAATTTTGTATCTGTGTCCTATCTTTCTCTTGAAACCTATCTTTCTCCTTGAAACCCTGTGGCCTCCTTGGCTGTCTTAACCCTTTCTTAGCTTTACTTTAACCTATGTATATCATTATGTGAAGTAGAATGTGTGACTTGAGTATTACAGATTATTAGTAATTAAGATTGAAATGAAATAAAAGAACTTTCAGTGAATTAAAGCCAATAAAAGTGATGTACACTGTGAATTGATTAAATAACACTAAACTCAGAAACTAAATCAATTGGAAGTTGTAGGGCATATTTTTGGAGAGAAAGGCATTAGGCAGGAAAAGAGCTCCATAAGTCTTCCTAGGCTATCCTTGAGACTTTGTAAAATACTAAGACAAGCAATGCACAGACTGAAATTCTATGAGTCTAAGCAAAGAACTACTAGTAGACTATAAATTGAATAATTCCTAGGTATTAAGAGTTAAAAGATTCCAAAAGAATCACACCTTTAAATGGCTTAAAGTACCCATAAGAGATAAGGGCTTAAAAATATAACTTAAAATATAAAGTTGGTCTTTAAGTAACTTAACTATCTGACAATCCAAACTCCTTTCTTTGAAAGACAACAAAATCAAACAAGGTAAAAATCACAATGCCTAATCAAAAAAAGAAAAAAAATTAGAAGTCATGAGAACAGGAAAATGTTGTCATAACCAGGAGAACAACAACTCAATAGAAGAAAAAAAAAAGGCCTAAAATAATGAAATTGAGACAAGTAAATTAAAACTGCTACTACAAATATGTTTCATATGTTCAAGAATATTTTAAAGGCATGAATATGAGACCCAAAATGGTAGATATATATTTTTAAATGGAATTTCTTAAAATGAAAAGTATAACAACCACAATAAAAAATTTATGAGATAAACAGATGAGATACTACAGAAGAAAAAAATAGTGAACTTAAAAGAAAGCAAAAGAAACTATTCAAACTGAAGCACAAAGAGGAAAAAAATCAAAAGAGAAAATAGAAACAGAATTAAGCACTCTAACTTGTGTATCAGGATGCAAGGAAAAAATATTTGAAGCAAATTTTCAAGTATGATAAAAGCAATAAACCCACAAATCCCCCCCCTAAAAAAAAAAAAAAAAAAAAAAAAAACTCAATGAATCCAAAGCAGGATAAATACAAAACACACTATACAAAGACACATCATAAATTGGGGGAAACCTGTGATGGTATAAATCTTTTTTTTAACAGCTATATTTATTATTAATTCTCATTAGTTATACATGACAGTAGAATGTATTTTGACATGTTATACATATATAGAGTACAACTTCCCATTCTTCTGGTTGTACATGATGTAGAATTACATTGGTCATTATATTCATATGTGCACATAGGAGAGTAATGTCTGATCCATTCTATTATCTTTCCTATTCCCATTCCCCACACCCTTCCATTCATTTCCCTTGTCTAATCCAAAGTACTTCCATTCTTCCCTACCCACACCCCTTATTGTGAGTTAGCATCCACTATCAGAGAGAACATGCTAACTTTGGTTTTTTGGGATTGCCTTATTTCACTTAACATGATAGTCTCTAATTCCATCTATCTACCAGCAAATGCCATAATTTCATTTCTTTTTATGGCTGAGTAGTATTCCATTGTATGTATATATGCCACAGTTTCTTTATCTATTCATCTGTTGAAGGGCACCTAGATTGGTTCCAAAGTTTAACTATTGTGAATTGAGCTGCTATAATCATTGAGGTGGCTGCGTCACTATAGTATGCTGATTTTAAGTACTTTGGGTATATGCCAAAGAGTGGGAAAACTGGGTCAAATGGTGGTTCCATTCCAAGTTTTCTGAGGAATCTGAATACTGATTTCCAGAGCAGCTACACCAATTTGCAATCCCATCAACAATGTGTAACTGAATATTTTCCCCCACACTCTCACCAACATTTATTGTTAATTGGTATTCTTTATAATTGCCATTCTGACTGGAGTAAGATGGAATCTCAGTATAATTTTAATTTGTATTTCTCTAACTGCTAGAGATGTTGAACACTTTTTCATACACTTGTTGACAGAACATATTTCTTCTGTGAAGTGCTTGTTCAGGTCCTTTGCTCATTTATTAATTGGGTTACCTGAGTTTTTTGGTGTTAAAGTTTTTTGAGTTTTTTTTCTTTAGTTGCCAATGGATTTTAACTTTGTTTACTCGGATGTGGCGCTGAGAATCGAACCCAGGGCCTCATATATGCTAGGCAAGTGCTCTACCACTGAGACACAACCTCAGCTGCATTGAGTTCTTTTATATATACTGGAGATGAATGCTCTGTCTGAGGCACAGGTGGCAAAGATTTTCTCCCATTCTATAGGCTTTCTTCACATTCTTGATTGTTTCCTTTGCTGTGAAGAAGCCTTTTAGTTTGATAGATGGTGTAAATCTTAAAAGTGACCACAGGACAGGGGATAAAAAAACAAAAAACAAAAATTCTGCCTTGTCTCTTATAAAGCAAATACAATTCATCAACACCCTAATTCTTCAAATCATATGTTTTGATTTTAGATATGATATACTATAGCAATGTCAAAGGTAGCTAGTGAAGTTAATATATAAAGAATTTACCCTCTCTGTGAGTCTAATTTAATTCAATACAATAAAACCCAAAGGACTGGAGTGGAAGTGAGGACAACTGAATACTATTTCTAGATTACATCTATCACCAGAACATTAATAAATAGCTTAATTTATTTCTTTTTTTTTAACCCAACATGTAACAGGTTTTTTTGTTTTGTTTTGTTTTTTTAAAAAAAGAGATAGGTGTAACAACTTCAAAGAAGATGAAGAAAGAAGGAAGGGAAAAGGAAGATAGAAAAGGAGACTGAGCAAATTATGTGCATGTGCGAATATGGCAGGATGAATCCATTATAATGTAAAATTATGATGCACAATTAAAAAAAAGAAAAAGAAAGCAGATCTGATTTACTTCCTTACTACTTCTGCTTACAAAATGTTTCAAGAGGTTTAGACTGAAAGATTACAGTTCCAATTTGCTTTGGTTTAAATATCACCTCCAAAACTCATATGGAAATTTAAACCTCAGTGCAACAATGTTAGGAGAGGTGGCTAATAAGAGTACTCTGCCCTCCTGAATGGATTAATAATGTTATCACATGAATGGACAGGTTATCAAGAGAGCAGATTTGATTTAAGTTTAGCTCCTTATGCTCTTTTCCTTTCTCTGTTCACTTGTTCTTCTACCATCTTATGACAGTACAGAGGACTCCACAAAATGCCAGTGCCATGATTTTTTACTTCTCAGCCTTCAAAACTGTGAGAAATAATTTTATAATTTACCCAGTGTGTAATAATTTTGTTAGAGCAACTATTAACAGTCCCAGCAGTCATTTCTAATGTTCTTTTTAAGGATCACTTGGTGATACTGTCACTAAGCAAATAAGAGAACCAATCATAGCCATTATTCAATATTACTATGTTGATATTTTAAATAAGGTTTTATATTATATTACTCAACATTTAGAGGTTGAATAATTTTTGCCTTTTTTCTAAATTGCTTATGAATGAACAGATATTACAAATTTAATTTTCATAATGATTTTATTTTTATTTAAAAAGTAGACTAGAACTTACTAATACTCTATATTGTAGAATTAATTTCCTCTGGAACACATCTCAACTATAAAACTCACTATACTCACAAATATTAACTAAATAGTTATTATCTTCTAAGGATGCAAAAATCAATGAAATTCAAATCTCTTACCAAATATCTTCTGATAGGAAAGAGCAATCACTAGCTTCATAGCTATATATAATAGATCCTGTGAATTCTAAGAAGGGAAGGTCATCTTCAAAAACACTCTTCAGAATACATGCCTTGAGAAAAATAAAATTCAACACAGATACAAGTAAAGTTCATATTAAATAATAAATGTTCACCAAAATAATAAAGTCCACTGAGTGGTAGAACACTCGCCTAGCATGAGTGAGACACTGGGTTCGATCCTCAGCACCACATATATATAAATAAATAAAGGTATTTTGTCAATCTACAACTAAAAAAATATTTTTTAAAAATGCTGATAACTGGTTGTCAGAACTTAATTCTAGAAGGTCTTAAACTGGCTTCCCCCAAAAATTCACCAGTGTTAGTGTTTCTAAATTATCTGAATTCAAATAAACTACTAAGGCCAACCATGTAAACTGACATAAAGGGGGAATATACAGTAAAAGTTCTCATTTTGTAAAACCCAAGAAGTTCTCATTTGTAAACCCAAAATTTATTACTATTCACCTATTCTAGAACTAGATGCTGGTTCATTCACACATCAGAAACACTAACCTAAATAATTACCTGAAGTTTACAAGTAAGGGTTGACTCATTCTACAGCCAAATTTAAATTAAATTCCCCATCTGAAAAAATAATCAATAAATAATATACCTTTCTTTCTTCTACAGCACATTTTTTATTCTGCATTGTCATCCATTTAGGAAATTTCCGCTGCTGTGGGTTTGTTTCCAGCTCTTTTTCATTCATTTTTAAAATCCCTAGTTGCAAAAAGAAAAAAAAAAAAAAAACATGACTTAGTGAATAAATGCAAATCCTTGAAAGAAAACTCAAGAGAGAGTCCTGTCAATGAGACAAAACTGAACATACATAATTAAATTATCACATCTAGGCCCAAGTATAATATATAAATATAATAGTTTCTATTAAATATACATTAAGTATCTCTTTCTTTTAAAGCAAGTGGGTCATTTTGAGTTCTAAAGTTCTGGCAATTTCAAAATTCTATTGTTCTACAACTTTAATCCTTTCAAATAACCTTTACATCATTAACAAAGAGAATTCTTGGGTGTATGAAATATTAAAAATTTTTCAGCCAGATGCTGTGGCACAATGCCTAAAATCCAAGAGACTAAGGAGGCTGAGACAGGAGAATCTCAAATTCGAGACCAGCCTTGGCAACTTACTGAAACCCTGTCTCAAAATAAAAAATAAAATGCATTGGGATGTAAACAGTAGTAGAGTGTCCCTGACTTCAATCCCCAGTACAACAATAACAAAAAAAATTATCTTTAATTTTCCGTACAATTATTATCTACAATCAAAGTAAACTAAGCAAGACCATTAGATTTATTCACAAGTATACGTGAAAATCTTCCTTTTAAAACACAGAACAGCTCTTCTATATTAAGGATTTTTTTTTTATTATGTCCTTTCCTACAAAGTGTACGTTACCCTAAAACTAAGAGCTTCTTAGAGAATTTTTTTTTAATGTGTTACTAGTTTTGAGGGCTCTCTACAATGTAAACAAAACTTAAGTATGGTTAAAGTAAACAGTGAATGAGCAGGGCACTACACCTTGTAATCCCAGGGGATCAGGAGCCTGCAAATTCAAAGCCAACCTCAGCAATTTAACAAAGACTTAAGGGAGACCCAGTATCAAAATAAAAATTTTAAAAAGAGCTGGGAATGTAGCTCAGTGTTTAAGCAAGCACCATGGGTTCAATCCCTGATACCAAAAATAAAAAAGAAAGCTGTGAATGAGAAAAAAGAGAACCATAACATGTTCTTTTTGCTAATGGATCCATACCCTGATGTGACTTACAATAAATTGAAGAAGGCTTATGTTCTCAGCAACAAATCGCAACTTTACTTCACATTAACTCAACTTTCTAATAAAGGGTAGTAGTTTTAAACATACTCCTAAAAATTCTCATGATGAAACATGATATTAAACAATCAACAACTACTTAGAATTTAGGGATAGCCTGTTATATTTGAGACTATTTAGTAACACAATCCCTAGCCCTAATTGCCCCTTTCCCAAAGCATGAACTAAAAACTGAGAATACTGACAATGTATGAAACAAAACAACTTAAAACAATTACTTTACCAAACTTAAATTTTCCACACAAAACAAAATCCATCACTCTTATGCATTGGGATGGAAAGAATTAACTATAGGCTTGTAACTCAGGCTTGCAAAGGAAGAGGAGGAAGAATGAAAAGAGCTCAACCAGGGGTCCTAGTAAACATGATAATTACCTCAAGTCAAATGGTACTTTTAACCTGTTAAGAGTATTTATTAGAAGAAAACTAAGGAGTCCCCATTTAGAAAATGTGATTAGCAAGGGAGAGCTCAACCATCTAAACTGCTTATTGTAAATAAGGCTGGAATTACAGATTCTAAATATATAACTGGAAAACGAAGGGTAATGAAAAAAGCTGTGTAATTATGAGAATATAAACTCAGAATTCAAAACTGCCTTTGGGCAATGATTTTACACGTAATACTCAAAACTTCTCTGTTAATTCAAAACCATGACATCTCCTAATACAGAAGAAAGGGACATTTTTCAAATCTTGTTTCTCACTATTTGAGACTCCTTCAAAAAAACAACATTCTTAGGAAAGTTTGGGATTGGTAACATCTATGATTCACTGAATCAGAACAGACAACTCTTGATGTTACCATATTCACAATAAGCAGTAGCATAAAATGTGCAAAATATATATGCTTTGTACACCGTAAAGCATTTTACAAATGTTAGTGGTTGATAAGATCCTACTTTCACAAATTCAAAACCCTTGAAGAAGTCAAGTTTATCCCAAATTGTATATATATGATCTCTTCTTAATCTTCATATATATGTTTATAAGGCTGGAAAACTAGTTTCTGCTATACTCAAGAGTAGATCACTGGGGCTGGGGATGTGGCTCAAGTGGTAGCACACTCGCCTGGCATGCGTGTGGCCGGTTTGATCCTCAGCACCACATACAAACAAAGATGTTGTGTCCGCCGAAAATTAAAAAATAAATATTAAAAAATTCCCTCTCTCTCTCTTAAAAAAAAAGAGTAGATCACTGGCAAAATGACAAGTAAACTAGGTTTCAGAAAATAATGCAAACACTATAAGAACAACCAATAATCTTGATATTTTGAGTAACTCGTTTACACTCTCAAAACAAAAATAAATCTTAAAAACTCTTACCTGTGACTAAGTATAACACTAACATCATTTTAATTTGAATTGTCTAATTTATATCTAATATAAACCAGCCTCTTTTACACACAAAATTTGATCTAGATATTTCCAGGTAAAGAATTTGAAAAGTAAATTTGTTTACAAATCCAACATTTTTGTCAAGCTTACTTAGATCTTGGGGCATAAAAAACACAGAAAATTAAAGTTGTAGAATAATTTGCAATAGGAAATCTTTTAATATACATGAGGATTTAAATTCTTCATCAAACAAAGGTTATTGTTGAAAGAGATCAAAACCTCACAATAAAAATAATTTTGTATTCATATTTAGTTGCTAATGTTGTTACATATGAGCAACTTTGACCCATCATTTTCCAAAATCATGTCTTTTAACATTTCTTAATATTTCATGTTTTGTCATTAAAATACTTTATATACACCTTTGAAATAAATTATATTTTGATTTGTTTTGGACTTTACTGGACTGTCCTGAAATCTTTTTGCCTATCCATTTACTACTATCTACAACTTTTCAACCTTTATCACTATTTTTAAGGCTTTCAAATATTTTTGCTATTGTTTATTTTTATTTTTCCATTTTTAATAGCCCTATTTAAACAGATTTGTCTTTCAACAGGGAAATTCATCTTGTTCATAGGCAGCATAACTTTTCCCTTTTCACTGTACTTGGACTAAACTAGTATTCATCTTATTTTCTTCAGATTCCTTTTTTCTACTTTTTCTGACTTAGCAAATTCATCCCTTTCCCATTATAAATGTTCAACTATATTAGGTTTTACGCTACACTTCACTTCTGAACAAGAAGCTATTTTCTTCAAAATCTACATAGCAACCATCACCAAAAAAGCACAAGTGGTAACAAATGGCAAAAGAGAAGCTTTTGCCTCAACAGACCAAAATCTCTATTTTCACCATTAATCAGTATTCCAGCAACTTAATCTCCTTAAATTACTCTCCAGAAAAAAAAATTCTTTAAATCTAATACATTCTTTTTCTGTAAGAAATATTCTAATTTCTTCTGATGTTTTAATTCAATTGAATTTTTATACCAAATGTTTCAAAATAATAAAACTTTGTCTCATATACACATTGACTTTGCTCTATTAGTACTATTGAGTCTTCTTTGGGATTCAAATAACATTAATTAAACATCACTTCTACTTCACTTTTCTAAAGCTGGATTTTTGCTCTGAATTCATAAACTGTCAGTACTGATTAATAAGTTTTCCATAGGATCACTGCATTTTTGATTTAATAATTTAAGTACTCATAATGTTAGTTAATGTCCCATTTTTGGAGCCAATAACTACTTCAATAAATCTACAAAGTAAGAAACATTAATGAGGAATAATTTATGATTTGTTCTTAGCTTAAAACCTTCCTTTGTGTTGTCAACACATTTCAGTAATGAAATAGTTAATTGCATTCTTCACCTGAAGCTGAAGATGGGTTATGTAGGAGCTTCAATTTCACTAGGCCCACTATTTTTATTACATCACTTAATGAAGAACTCAAAACTAAAGGCAAGGGGGATTCAAGATGGCGGGCTAGAGGAAGGATGCATTCCTAGTCACTCTGTGGCTTGGGATTCAAGCAGTGGTAGACTGTTTCTCTGCAAGGTGGGTAAAAGAGGGATTTCACCAAAATTCAATACTGGACAGTCAGACTGCTATAGAGACTAAGAAATCTGGGGACGTGAGGACCAATGACCCACATGCAGCCCATGCAGGACCATGACAGGACCACCTACCTGCACAGAAGACTGCTGACCAGTGCAGAGAACCATCCTGTAGCTCCCCATTTACCAACACATAGCCACCCAGGCCTGCCTCCATCTTGGAACACTGCAGCCATCACCATAGCTTCCCCATATAGTAGCCTCAATCTTGGGACAACGGACAGGGCCTGGTGGCAGCTGCCCACCACTGAACCAGACACCACAGCACTGCATCTCTGAGCAGGCCACCCAAGGCCATCGCAGGGCCCCTTTCAGCCTCATCTCTGAAAGTGGTCGCCTCCATCTTAGAATACCTCCACCACCATCTCGGGTTACCCATGCGGCCGCCACCACCATCTTTAGTTGTACAGCTTCCACTTGGGACACCAGCCAGGGACTGGAAGCCCAACACCAAGGTACTTACAGATTTAATGCTAGCACCACCACCATCTAGGAACGTGGCTGCTTCTATTTAGGGACAACACCCAGGACCCAAAAGATCATCAACAAGGTTCCTGCAGGCTTGGTTACACCAGAAGTACCCCTTCTAGATATGCTAACAGCCACCATCTTGTTGCAGAGGTAGGAAAGAGCCTTGCATGGGGTCACATCTTTCTCTCTTTCTCCTGTTAACAGCCAACTTCTTTTGATTCCTCTTTCACCCTTCCTATGATCTAATACCTCTATATTCTCACAACCTAACTCATAAATATCACATCCCACACACACACACACACCCCCCACTTCTTTGTCCACCAGTAGAAACTTTAGAACCCTTTGCAAATCTCCTGTTTATATTGCAGATAATAACTAAAC